CTGACGAGTCTATTTAATTTGGTCAGTTGCCCGAATTACACGTATGAAGTGGGATCGTGGATCGGATTCTCTGTTATGACACAGTCCTTACCAGGTTATTTTCGCTGTCGTTTAATGTGATTGTTATAGATTTATCGTAATAGACTAAACATTTGATACGGCTTATTGTCATTATTGTTCTTATTATATTTATCAATATTATTTATTGTTATCGCAATAATTTGATCAGCACGTAAACAGCAGTAAACAGTTTGATAGCCTGGCCAATCCAGATAATCCAGATAAATTGTCCAGATAATTTATTGTTATCATTATTGTCATTGTTATTATTATCATTGCTAGTAGCATTATTTAATATTTGATCAATGTTTCAGCACTTCTATTCACCATAGCTGGCTTCGTACAAATGACAATCTGGGCGAAAGGCAAGCATGTGGCCTATCGCAAGCAGTTCTCAAACTATCCTCGCGAACGTAAAGCGATTGTTCCGTGGCTTATTTGAATTAAGGTTTTGAGTATTTAATATATTAATTGTTGTGGGTTCATTATAGTATTATGTGTAATATTTGACTAATGAAATACTGAACAGCATTTGAGTTTTTGAGTTTTTTTTGTTCACAAGTGAAGTTTTTGAAATGAATCTTATGGCTATGCTAAATTCATTGATGAAAATTTTCCGTTGTGAATTCCTATCGTCGTTGCCATTCTATTTGTTGATTGACTGCATTTATGGATTATTTTACGTATTGGTTTGGATTATTGTTGTTGTTGTGGTCGTTTGATATGCAAGAAATTGAAAGTTTGATTGAGAATGAGTACAGTTTAATTTGATTCGTTCGTTCGTTTGAGTATTAAGCAGTATTCAGTATTAACTTGACGTATTGAGTATTAAGTATAAGTATTTGAGCATTAAGTATTAAGTTAGTTGATGAAAAAACCCAGTATTCATTGAATTACTCGGCAAGTGCTAAGGAGACTAACACAATTTGGTATTTGTTTGGGTAGTGATGATAATTAAGGGCTTCTTGTCGAATTCATTTGAGAAATTTATCAGTTGTAGAAATGGTGTCGTGTTTTTGATTCTGAAAGGACATAAAACATGATGAAATATGTTGATTTTTGTTTGTTTTTGTGTTGCAGAGTCGTTGTAATTGTGATTTGTTGACGAATTTTGTGATATTCATTAAGCAAAGCGATGACATTAGCATGACACAGTGCTTTGTCGTTAATTAATTGTTACAGTTGATTTGTGATCGTTTATTTGGTAATTCAGAATAAATATTTCGTTGTTTATCTTCCACAATATCGTTGTTGTGTTACTGAATGATGTTTCGGAGTTATTGTTCTAAAGTTATATCTCGCATTATACAGTGGAACATTTCCATTATCAACTTCAATGTCTAATTTCGAGTTATGATGGCTGGACGCATGAAAACTTTATCTGTTTGGAAATAAAAGAGATGATTGAAGGGGAAGTTTCATTGACGTGAATGATTTTATTATGAATATAGGGAATTGAAGGGTGGTTGATAGTCAAGCACTCGAGACTATCGTTAAGGAAGTTGAACATTTAAATGAAGAATCTGGAATTGAATCCGTGATTATGAAAGAAGAAAACAATTTTAAGATTGCATTGAATAGGGTTGAATAGATAGAGTTGCACTGAACCGATCTCAGAAATATGTGGTTTACTACTATTAATTTGTGAAAATAATTGTTTCATTGGTTAGGTTAGACTGTCAATAGTTAAGTGTAAATGTGAGACAGTAAAAATTGATAGATGAGAATCGTTAGTATCGTTAGTAATTGAATGAATGACTATTCAGCCAACATGAACGGTCTTGAATGGCAAGCCGTCTTACTGTGCGGTGGTATGGGCAATCGAATGACCGAACTAACGGATCGTATTCCAAAATGTATGCTACCAATCGCTGGTATACCGATGTTTTGGTATCCGTTGAATTTTATCCGGAGAAATGGCATTAATGGTTTGTATTAGATGCACAATTCTTTGTTGCTATTATTCAGTTCATTCATCTCGATTCATAGAGAAAGTCATCCTCTGGGTCTAGAAGTTATGATTGCTTGGCCTCATGAAAACTTCATCTATTTGGAAAGAAAAAAGCAAGGCGATTGAAGGGGAAGTTTCATTGACGTGAAGGATTTTATTGTGAATGTAGTGAATTGAAAGATGTTTGATATTCAAGCATTCGAGACCATCCTTCAAGAAAATTAAACATTTTATCTGAAAAATCTGGATTCGTACAGAAACTTGCCCGGTGGGTCTAGAAATATACCCTTGCGATATACATCGTCAGTGTTGCTGCAAAGATGTTTATTCATAATCTACAAGATGAAACTTTTTGAAGACGGTTCATCTCATTCTAAAAATCTGAAGAAGTTATGGTCATCTTTGAAGAAAATATAAAAGTCTACTTGTTGTGTTCATTATTCTCTAAAGGCAGTTTATCTGGTGATGCGATAGTTGACAATGATCTGAAAAGGATTTTGAGCTGATCAGATTCTATGTTCACAATTCATTTCAGAAGTTTTGTTTGTGGTCAGCGAACGGTTATTACCCCAAGTGAAACAACTTATAAATGGGAAACAATTACCACCGTTAGGCGATGAACTCAACATTGAATATATACCGTTGTCGAGTGCAGCTGAGGAGTGGGGCACGGCCGATGTATTGAGGCAAATTGAGCCGAAAATTAAGGTCTCTCGTTTGGTATTTGACAATGACCTGACAAGGAATCCACTAAGCTGCTCCAATTATAAGGAAAAGCTGTAGAACTACTATGTTTCATGAAGAGATTCGAATTATTTTTTGATGTTTAAATCGTTGATGCTTTGGAATGTTCTGCGTCATGTAATGGATTTATCAGTATTAAGTTTTGGTGATTACGATGAATGTTTCAGAGTGATTTTGTTGTCGTGAGCGGAGATTTTATATCCGATATGAGTCTTGCACCGTTGATGAGCATGCATCGAGCCAATGATTCGTGTTTAACGTGCGTTTTTGCCGAGAACTTTATCACCGGTTCCGTTCCTGGACCGAAAATGAAACGATCTAAAGGTATTTTCGGTTTCGTTATTTTTTATGTTGGTTAATATTATTAATATAATTTTTCCATCATCAGTATAATTCCTTCATTATTCAATATTATTGTCTAGTTGTTGTGTTCGCTCAGGTCGAGATTTCGTGGCCTTATCCGAGAAGAATCAACTGCTTTTCCTGGGATCTGAAGAAGATTTCGATGATACAATCCCAGTTAATTCGCACTTATTTTCGAAGTTGGTTATCATTTTTATAAGGCGATTGTTTTTTCTTACGAATGAATGCATCGAGCGATTCTTTTGAATCAGTTTCATTGGAACATCATAATATTTTGAGTGAGATAGAAACAGAGTTAATGAACAGTTCATAATTGGCGCAGAATAATATTACATTTGCATATTCTTTGAACATTTTCATTGTTTGCATTTTTTTAAAAATTTATATTTGTTTCATCCTCGTATGTGTGTCATAATTTCATATCTTAATTATTGCGTTGGAAGAGGGCTTAAGTTCAGGTCCAGGCTCATCAGTATTGGGATTTGGCTTGATCAGAAATAAATTTAAGAGCGGAATGCATTGTTACAAATTCAATGTTTTCCGGACCTTCTCCATACCAATGTCCGGAAAACACTGGAGTTATAACACTATCCCTCAACCATTTTCATTATATTATGAAGAGCGTTCATTTGTTGTTTATATTTTGAAATTTGTATTGAATTTTAGATTCAGAAATGTGAATTTAACAGCGAAATGCAATGATTGTCATGTATATGTGATGAAACGATGGATCATTGATATCGTCAAACGGCAACGTTCACTATCGTCGATTAAAGCCGATCTGATACCATATCTTTTGGAACGACAGTACACGCAGTTGGAATCTGGTACGTGCAGGTTCTTCATGCAGGCTCTCATGAAAAATGCAAGGAAAAGCGCATGTTTTCCTGCAAAATGCGATTAATTTCATTGCATTGGAGCAATTTTTTGCGAAAAGCAAACGTCGTGGCTTGAGACATTAATTTGAAACGTTGTTTTTGTGATTCGATTCGATTGCAGTCTTTGACATTTCTGATCGAAAAATGTTAAATGAAAGTATTGGGAGGAATTATGTGAGGAATATAAATTGGGAAGGCAGATATAATAATAATTTTATTCTGGGTTTTGGGTCATTGAAGAAGAGCGATTGTTTTTTTTGCAGAATTGGTACCACACGTTGAAATCGATAAACTAACGGAACTTGCAAATCAGTTCAGTTTCGGTACTCCAATAGCGCCTCAGATACCGCAACTACGTTGTTTCGCTTATATAGCGACACCAGAAAATGGCTCGATTGTAGCACATGTGAATAATATTGGTACTTATTTCGAGGTTAATAAAGCGGTTGGTTTTGATTTTACATGGAATTTGTGTGTTTATTTATTCTGTTCGGTTTATTTCCTGATTAAAATCGCTCGTTGAAATCATTGGGAATGTGCCTTGAAAAGTTTTTCTGCCTTGCGCAAAACTCGTTTCCAAACATTCAATTCAATGCTCACATGAATTGCAAAAGGATTTGTTTTTTTGTTAAGAAGAGAAATGTGTCCAAAGCATTCAGGGATTTATTACTATATTTTATGGTCAAATGATCAATCGAATTGCGGTCAAGAACCTTTTGAATAATTATTATATATAAAATCAGTCGGATCAATCAATCGAAAAAATAATATTTATGTTCGTTGACTGAACATAAAATAGTTTAATTGTATAAAAATCTCGAGAAGTTGTTTTTCTTAAAGATGACGGATCAATTTTGACTAATTTATTTAGAGTTCGCTTTCATTTTTGAGGTGTTTGCATTTTCAGATAATCCGATTTTTGCACTGTAAATTCAGTGATTCATTCCCGCACGGTCTAAAGATGGACCAAAATATAAGTGAAAGTTATGTGAATAAAACGGTAAGATTTCTGGATGGAGCGTCGACGTTACGGACAGATAGGCCGATTATCAAGAGGTCAGTGGTGGGAGCTGGATGTGAGTTGGGAATGCGAGTGAGGATAACGAACTCGTTGATTATGGATTCGTGCAAAATTGGCACTGGGTAAGTGTAAACTCTGAAATAAGATTGATTTTTGTTTCGTATTTGTTCGATGTTTTCATGAGAGCAATTGAAATTTGAGCGATTCTCTTTAATCGTTTGATTGTTTCGTTAACTTTTTAAACTTTTAAACCATAATGGACATTTTTGCTTTTAGGATTTTGAATTCAATTCAGAATTATTGCGATGTGAAATATGAAATTCAAAAATTTTGATTCATTTTGATGTTTTCGAAAGAGATGAAAATTTTGCAGTGTTCAAATAACGAACACGATTGTGTGCAGTGGTTGTGAGATTGAGGAAGGCGCACAGATAATGTCTTCGATTGTAAGCAATCAACAGAAAATACCCGCAAACGGTAATTTTTTGATATGTTGAAATGTGGATGTGGTTTTTTATTGTGGTGGTTTCTTTGAAGAGTGTTGAAAATCGGGTTTATGAATGTTGTTGGATGGAAAAATGTCGGGTTTTGAAAGTAAGAGTGAGCGTAAGGCTGAGACCAAATACTAGGCCAAGCTTGAGCCCAGATGTTGGCCTAAGGCAGAGCCTGAAGTCAGCTTAATCGAATTTGAATTGTTGGGATTAGGACATTTTTACTTTTGGGGAATTCTGAATTGTTTGAGGAAATGATATCAGTTTGGTGATTGAAACATTTCAATTCTGTTTTTGTGTTGGTTTATTTAAGACAGTGACGAGACATTTTTAATTTTTACTGGTTATTTGTTGCAGCGAACATTCAAAATGAATTGGTCGTACCGGAGAATGAAATGGATATGGAAGATTGATGATGAAGTGATAAGTGAGGAAATTTTCTGTAAATCAGAAAAAAACGAAATTTCGTTCATTATTATTGACGTTATTTAATTATTATTGTTATTGTTATTGTGATAACGAAGGATGTAAAAAAATAAATATTTCATTGTCGAAATTTTGTTGAGAATTTCCATTTGATTATTTACGGTATGGTTTCTAACCGTTTCATTACATGCCGATTCGATAACTTCGCATAGTCATATAATTATTGCTCGTTTCTTTATTAATATGGCTATTTTTTGAAAAATCGCCGTGATTTTAGTTCAGATTTTTTACTTCATATGTGAAAATCTGTGTTCGCATTATGTGTTAGTGAAGATTGTTAGGAAGTGGATTTTTGTGAGCGTAATATTTGCGTGAAAAGTTATGTTGAATGTCGAATTGTGTTATGTTATGTCGAATCGCCGGTCTCTTCACTGCATTCAGCAAACACAGGCGATTCGAAAGCTGATTTTAGTTTTAGATTATTCTAGTTTTTATTATTATATTTTTCATTATTTTATTCTAGTTTTTATTACTCAAGTCTATTTAGATTCTAGTTTTTAGATTAGTGAAGAATGGAGGTTTGTGAAGAGGTACAATTCGAAGGATGTAATTTTATGCGGCAACATTTGACTTATTCCATTCTGAGTGGACGACCGGTGACCATCAAAAAAATTCGGTCGATGAACGATGAGCCGGGCATTAAAGGTTTGGATTTTGATTTCGATTTCGGGTGTTTGCTTCGTATTTGGGGAGTGCGAATATGAATGTATTTAGTGGTCGTTGATGTCTTTGAGGTAGCAATATGGATGGTATATGTGACGTAGCGATATTAGTTGAGATTATGAGAAGTTTTGTTGCAGATTTTGAAACGAAACTGTTATCGATGTTCGAAAAAATCACGAATGGAACACGGATTGAGATCAGTCAAACAGGTGGGTTATAGTGAATGTTCTTTCAGTCGTTATATTTGAGTGAACGTTTTGCAATAAAAGAATTATAGGCATTGGAATTTTGGGCACTGGAAGCGGGATAGTCATATTACGTATTTTAAAATTTATATGAGATGATATGATTTTTTATTGATGGTTGAAAGTGGAGAGAATAGTAAAAATGTAATGGAATTGGGCATTTTGTGTTGTTTTGACGATAGTTTTATCAAGAACTTGACTTGATTTATTAGTGACATTCGAATTAGGCAATCTTGAGTTGGCGGATTGTAATTCTTAGCACTGTTGATGAAGTGAAATGTGATAAATATTGAAGGTACACAAATTCACTTCGTGCCGGGTATGATACAAGGTGGATCGGTTTCGATGGACTGTGGTACGGAACGATGCTTGAGGTTAGATTCCTACTTGAAGATATATTATATTTTCTTAAGTAACATTATTTGTATTGGATTTTTTTGTTGTACGGTGAGATAGGCATGAGCAAATCAGGAAAGAAACTTATATTGGATTGGTGATGATTTCTGTTCAGATATTACTTGAGTCTAAAGATATTGACTTCAATTTCTCTATGGATTAAGTAAGATTTGAAAGGAGCATTTGATGAAATTATTTTACTTCATACTTCAAGTAAAAATATAAGCTCATTTGGAATCTCGACTGGTTTCTTTGTATAAAGTGATGTTTGAATCTTTGTTTTATCAATTTTAAATGTTCTGAAATTTTCAGTTATTTCTTGGAACCATTACTCATGTTAGCGCCCTTCTGCAAACGACCATTGAGCGCACGTTTGACCGGTGTTACAAACGCACCCGATGAATTGAGTGTAGATGCTGTTCGAAGTACCTGGTTACCGGTATTCAAGAAATTCGTACTGAATGATGAGCAGTTAGATATCAAGGTTATTTATTCTCATCGTTAGAATATTTATTCAATATTCGTTATTTATTCATTTATTCTGATCATTTGAATGCTTATTATCATTGCTATCATTATATGTTTGAGGTAGTATTGTTGCTCTTATTATCATTATCATTACCTATTATCAGTAGTATTATTAGTGGTAATTATGATTACAATTGATTATAATTCTAATGATAGGGATTGTATTTGAGTGAATACTTGAAATCGTTGATGATTGAAGATTTTTTGATTCATTAACAATTTTTGTTCGTATCTGAAGAGGTTGTAATTATCGATTCGTTGAGATTGTTTCGTATTAGAGAAGCTTTTTGTGTTTGGTTGCTTCTCGAAATTTTACAGTTTAAAAATATGATCAGTCTTAATTTCGTGAATATTACTGTCATTGTTATGAATCTAAATTATGGATCGTTTAATTGTGATTACTATGAATCAAACTTACAGATTGTTAATCGTGGTTTGAAACCGAATGGTGGCGGAAGTATTGTTTTTACGGCACCTATCGTGAGGACTTTACGACCTGTACAGGTGCGTGGCTACGGGATTTATTTATCAGAAGATTTGCGTCTGTGTTGTTTACTGTTACTGTTGATTTCATTGTTATACTTGATTACTTCAGTTCGAGAGTCCGGGCAAGGTGTGTAAGATTCGTGGAATGGCATACGTAACAAAAGTTTCACCGTCGTTGGCACATCGCATGATTGAATCGGCCAAGCAGACATTGCGAGGATATATTGCCGATGTTTATATAACGGTTGATCAGCGCAAAGGGGATGCGGGAGGATTGTGAGTTGTTAAAAGATATTTTGATTTTAAATCATTTTCGTGAATGTTGGTAGTAGTTAAGATTTGTTGATGAATTGTCAAATGGAGGTGTGTTCTGAGGTAATTATTATAAGATGTGAGAAGTTTCCATCCATCTGTAAGCGTAATGTTACAATATTGAACATCAACTCCAAGATGTACTGAGAAGAAAAGGAAGTCTGAATTTGAGTTGAATCCGTAATCGAATTTAAACTCACTAAGCATCTCGCGTCAACTATGGATTTTAGTCCATTAGAAAATTTTTTGGTCTGATAAGTTTTGTGTTGATGTAAGTTTACGTATTCAGATCGCCAGGTTATGGGTTGTTTTTAACGGCCGAAACGACAGAAGGTGTGGTATATCATGGGGAGTCGATGTCGAAGCCGAAAGATGAAGCTGGTACTCCGTTGATGGCAGAAGATGTGGGGCATTTAGCGGCGTCGCAATTACTCGATCAGATTTATTTGGTTAGTTGGATATTTATTTGTTCGTGAAATTTATTTGTTGTTATGATCAATGTAGTGATTAGTGATTGATGTGATTGAAGGGCGGTTGTGTGGATGGGTCAGCGCAAGCATTAGCCGTAACATTCATGACGTTGTGCGAGAAGGATGTTAATAAGTACCTGTTTGGTCCATTGACAACTTATTGGTTGGCTTCGTTTTGTTTTGATCGTTACTTTTACTTATTATTACAGTTAATATTATTATCGTTATTATTATAGTTATTAATATTATAGTTATTATTATTGTTATTATTATTATAGTTACTATTATAGTTATCATTATTATGGTTATTATTGTAGATGTTATTATTATTGTTATTGTTATTATTATAGTTATTATTATAATAATAATTATTATAGTTATTATTATTATAGTTATTGTTATAGTTATTATTATTGTTGTTACTATTATTATTGTTATTATATATTTATTATTATTATAGTTATCATTATTATTATTGTTATTATTATAGTTATTTATTATATTATTACTATCGACATTATCATACTGTTATCGTTATTAAGATTAATCCATCGGTAATTTTTCAGTGTTCAATCGTTACGGAATTTGAAGAAGATTTTCGAGATAACTTTCAAAATTGATGAATGGCGAAAAATACGTGAAGAATCGGAGAAGGAGAAGAGACTCGGATCTGAGGATAAGGCAATGCTGACGTGTATTGGGGTGGGGTATAGTAATCTTAATAAGATTGTTTTGTAGTTTTTGTTTTTTGTTGTTATCATTGTTATTGTTATGATTGTCACTGTTATTGTTATTGTTATGATCTACTTTGTGTTGTTATTATTGTTGTGATAACTTTGATTTCAAGTTGAGTTTAACTGTAGTTGAATTTATGGACAGAGAAGTTGATTGATGAAAAATATGAGTATGAGAATCAAACTCGAGTATTGGAATTGTGAAAAGATGAGAAAAACTTTCTCAAAAACATAAGTTGAGGAATCGCTTTGAAATACGTGAGTAGTGGATCTAATCCCTGAATCACTGTAGAGATTATTATTCGAAAATGTTATTGTAAGAAATGGAAGATGAAACTTTTTTGATGAATTTGTTAAAATTGTTGATTTTATCGAGTGTTATTGGTTGTTGTCATCGTTGCCACTGAAAATTTCATCCACATCTATATTGGCCCCTTAAATCAGATGATGCCTGATCAGAAGACGTAGTCTTCTCCAACTGAATAATCTCTAAAATTTGTGAGAGAGCTTGAAAATGATAACAAGTAATGGCCAGGAACGGATCTATGGGAAAGTATCTACGTTGAATGAATGAAATCTCTGGCAACGAGGCGATCGTTATTGTTATATCACTGTTGTGTTAAATTCTTTTATGAAAAATTGTTATCGTTAAAATTGTTATATTGTCAATATTATTGTTGTGCTTGTTTGTTGTTATCAAAAAACAATAATGAATAAATAAAAGAAATCGAATTTTCAGAAGGAAATGTTTGCGTTATACGTTACATTTCGGTTTCTAAAAGCACCGAAAAGGATATGAATATCACAATAGAACATTATGAATTTTGTATCTGTCGAATCCATATTTCATTCATGAATCCGTATTCCTTTTTTTGATTTCTCGTTCCCTTCAACTTTTCTAAAATTAATTTGCTATTGAGCAATCGGCTCGCCGCAATTCTCTTCTCGCAGTAGGAATATTCTGCAATTGTCTCTTAAATTCTGCAATTGCTATGATCTATCAAAACTCTTCGGAATCTGCAATTGACTATCAAAATACGACGATTCCAAAGAGTTTTGATAAATCACCAATTTCAAAATTTATAAGACAATATTGATATTCATTATCTCAAATTCTGCAATTGCCATGATTTATCAAAAGTCTTCAGAATCGTGTTTGAATATTGATCACAGAAGCGGTCGTTCAGTGGTTTTCAAGTGCATTTGTTAGTAATTTATATGGAGATGGATATGGATATCGGGGTAATCGACTCCAAATAATGATTATTGCGGTTAGGCAGATTAGATTCAGGAAATGCGCTACGAGTGTGTTTGTTTATGTATGTAATTGTTTATAATGCAAATGGCTCAATCAAATGCCAATAAATAATAAACAAATCGTTACGACGACCATCACATACACCACCCTGCTGCTAACCCAGCCTAACCCTTAGCCAGGCCATATATCTAATCATCATAAAAGTATCTCATCAATCTAAAAGTACATCTGTTCATTCTGGATATCTTAGTGACTTTATTTCTCTGCTTACACATCCTCATTATAATCAACAATGCAAATTTGTAGACTCTCATCGTGGTGATGTTTTTCTTTGTAGACTATCTCGTAAAGTAATAGTGTCTATTGCACACTCTCATTCTCTGCACATAATGTTTTTGAATGCTATTTTGTAGGCAACAACGATAGCGATAACGTTTTCAGAGGAACGCGCGCTTAATCAGTTCTAGGCAGAAGCGTGCTGGATAGAGCGGGTGAATTGAGGAGAGACAGAGTGGCGAGCAAACGAAGAAAGCGTTTTCATTATTGAATCTGCTGCTGGTGTTGGTGTTGCTGCTGTTGGCATCTTAATAATCCACAAGAAATTGACTGAATTCATTTAAGAAATCCGAAATTCACGACGATTTCGGTGAGTTACTTCATGAGAATTTTTCAGTTTTTTTCATTTTTCATATAATCAACGTGTTTTTGATTCCGTCATTTGGTAATTTTGTATTTTGGGTTGTATTTTAAATTGAAAATGGCATTTCGTTCTTATTCGTAGTTGAATTTGTTATTTATGATTAGTTAGAGCATAGCAAGGAATGTTCACACGAACGAAATGTCGTTGTGATTTTACCAACCTGAAATACAACATTACCCATGGTTTTATAAAAGTTATATTTGACTTGATTTGATTGCGTTGAATTGAGTTGTTTGGGAGAGTTTGGCGAAAGATGAAGGAAATTCGGTGGAAATAATTCTAGAAAGCATTTAGAAAAGTAGAAAAGCATTTGGAAAACGTTAATTTAATGTAAAATTGCAATGAAATCGGGCAAAAATTTGATGGTTTCATTAGTCAGATAACAAGAAAATGCATTCAGAAGCGTATAAAGGGATTGATTTTGTTGATTTTGAGAGAAGTTTAAATGCGAAGCAAAATTGAATATTGCGCTCGAATAAAAATAGAGTTTTGAATGGGTTGAAAGGGTGAAGAAGAAATTTAATGTTTGATATGATGGATGATGTTTGTTTTGATTGAAACTTTTGACTTCACCAGATTAATGTGGTGCTCCCCGAGGGAGTTTAAGATAGGATATATACACTCTGAAATTGTTTCAAGCAATCTTGCCTCCACGTTCTGGGCTGAATTGTAATTCTCTTGTTAATTTTAGTTTCATTTGTTGCTTACATTAGATTTATTATGAATGTGTGCAGCGCTTTGTTTTGTTTATTTCAACGCGTAAATATTTATTAAGATAAGTTTCAAAGAATCAAATTGAGAGTTGAGATGAGATTTTGGCTTGGTTGAAACTGTTTGCATTTATATGAGGATAAGGAAATATTTTTGAGAAGGATAGAGTATTGCTGCTAGAGTTATTGTGATTATTATTATTTTATATGTATAGTCATGATAATGATTATAATAATACCGTTGGTGTAAATCGGTATTGTTTTAATTTTATTGCGATATTGTGTTTGTTACTAATTGTACTGCTTGCAGTGGTGGTACCATTGCCTAATTCAAAACATTTCAAACTCTCCTAAGTTTCAGATTCGTCAGAACTGAGTTGTGTTCATTTGTGACAAGTGAATAAACTTGTCTTCAAGCAATCCGAAGTTACAACCACGTTCGAAGAGCAATTTAGTTGCTCTGGGAAACAAGATCAAGATAAGCAGCCAGTGATAGAATTGGAGAAGGCAGTGTTGTCTGCCTGAATTACGAATGGACACTTCTGGACAGGGTGATCCAAACGCCGCCACGAATGCAGTTATTGATGGAACGAAACGGTTTCTTTTTTGGCATTGATTATTTAGTTGTTTCGGTAATCGCGAGATTAACGTAACTATAAAAGTTAACTTAAAACTTAAGTGATGGCTTGAGTTTTTGGCGAAGTTCAAGATCGCTATTTGGATTTTCAATCTTAAGTTGTGTTCTGAGTATTGAATCATCTTAAGCTCTGAGTATAGTCGCGAGCTTCAACAGCTTCAGCTTAAGTGATCATATGAAGCCTCAAAAATGCACATTCGTTTAATCGGGCATCTGAGGTGGCGGCGGGCTGTCAAAATGTCTCATTTTCGGAAGTTTCTGTGCAAGACTTGTGAGAAGTTTTGTGGGGAACCTGAGCCCGCAACTTGGATGAGCCTTTCGAGGATTTTGAGCAATTGTTGGCCGATTTCAGATTGAGTCTAAGTGGTGGACAGCCGTCATCAGACCCGAAGGAGACGAACAACTTGAGCGCAGATCATGGCAAGATCGATAGTGCGGCGGTGGCGGCGGTCACTCGCCTCGATGGTCATCCGCATCCTTCTGTATCCACCACCCCGTCGGTTGCGCCACATCAACCACAACCGCACATCACACCTCAGCCGATGTCCACGAAGGTTTGTATTTCCGCAGAAAATAATTCATTCATATTTTTTTGTCAAGCTTTTGAATTTTTAGAATCTTCAGCCAAAATTTAGAAACAGCAGAAATTTTGTGCAATCTTTTTCGTGTGTGCTTTCGTTTAGATTTGAATTTTTTTCTGTTTTTTTTGGGAACTGAAAATTTTGAATTTCATTCAGAGTTTTGAATTCAGAAGTCCTGAAAAGTTCCATTTGAATCCCGTTTGTGCAATGAGATTTTGCAGTTTATAGTGGGAATATTTCGGAATATTGTTATTCTCATTCTACCAGAACTGTTTTATTGAATACATCATTAATCGCAAACGATAACTTCAAGTGTTTGTCAGTTTGCAAATTTATCAATTTAAGGTCTACTATCATATCGATGATGAGAAAACTCCGTATTGCACGGACGTGCAAGTGCCACCCGACAGGATAACGTTGGGCGATTTCAAAATGGTTCTGAATCGCTCGAATTTCAAATACTTTTGCAAGGCACCTGCACCCGATTCTGCGGTTTTCGAGTAAGCTATTCCATTTTCTTTTCAAATTTTGTAATATATTGGCAGCAATATTCATGTCATTCAATGTATTATGTGAAAAATAATTAATGGTCCACCTGGATTGGTCAGGCTGTATCGTTGCCGGGCACAACGCACTTCCGTTTGCTCTCATTTGACAGATCTTTCCAAATTATTATTCTCTTTTGTCCTTTCATCCGATTGTTCGTTTCCCGAGTGGTCTTTTCCGTTGTTTTTGGTACCACTGAACACTTGCGCGATTTCATCTATCGTCATCGTTTCATGCTACGTGGCTTGCCTGATTAATTCTTCTAAGCTGTTAATATCTTTTAAATATGCTTGATATTGGCTCAACTGGAATTCCATTTAATAATGCTGGATGTTATAAAATTGGAATTATAGGGAAGTGAAAGTGGAAATACGTGATGAGAATGAGCGATTGTATAGATCTGCGAATGGACAATTCGAATTGTTTTTGCTGACGTCCGAGGGAAGCAGTCATTCGGATGGCTCAACTGGTCTTCCGTTGAAGGCTGCCCGTCATCATTTGGTAGGTTCATTCATTCATTTCGTTATGGTTCATTTGGTTTTGTTTTGAGTTCGTTTATTGTTATTGAAGTTGTTGTCCATAATGTTTATTATGTTACCGTTCGCGGAGGAGAGTTTCGCTCGAAACTGAGTGGTGTACCAATATCATTAATGTTGCTAGCTTGAGCCAGCAGGCTATGATCTGGCTTGTATCTATTATCTAATTATCTGTTATTATTCGTTATGTTATAACCAGTATTATTAAACTGTCATCTCCATAGTTAGAGTTGTTGAATGTTTCAGGTACCTGGACCAGCACCAGCTCTGTATCCGGTCGGTACTGTCGCATATCGACAAGCAGTACAGCAATTCGATCAAAGCAGTATGTTTTGATTAAGAAATTGATTAAGATGATTTTTTAAAATTGATATTCTATCGATATCGATGCTCTTGGAATCTTCTTCAATTTTATGTCGCAACAGTCAACTTTGCGACGTTTGAGGGTGTTGTTCAGTTTCAGTGATTTCGACGGATTCTGAATCGATGATCAGTGATATGAGAGGACTGCCGATCCACATGAAGAATGCCGCAGCGATGGGACGGCGAACTTACCAACAGCAATATCTGATGCCTCAAGGTTGGTTACGGTTGCAAGTATTATTCATCATTTCGTTGGTGTTTGATATTTTGAGTGAATTCAGTTGGTTGATTTGATAAATTTGAGTATTAACGAGTTCGGTTGAGTCATTCTTTCATTATTTTATTGAATATGAATTTGGGCATCATTACTCCGTTCCATTTCTTAATGTTCTTTTGCTTTTTTGTGGTTATTTTGATTCATCATCGAAGTTTTTGAGCTTTATGTTTGCAGTAAAATGCTTTTGACTGTTACTGTTCTTTTTGCTTCTGATTCTTCTTCCTCTAATTGCCAAACATTTTATCATTTCTTCTACTCTTTATCACTTCTTCTGATTCGCCAGACAAATGAAGCATTCGCTATTGATAGCGATTCACGATTCACTATTCTTGCTCGTATTGAAATGATTTGAAAAAGCGAAATCACCATCCATCGTAGCATATCTTGCCTATGCACTTGGCTGTATTCTCGAAAAAAAAGCAAGCAAAGGGTGNCTAAAAGAAGAGCATTTCTTCTGAGTGCTGATTCACCGTCATAGATTAAAATTTTACAAAACCCATTAAACACACCAGAGTGGATCGCGTCAACGAATCTCGTCCGTCACATTAAGAAACGCATTTATCAACTTTTTGCTAATTTCTGTTTGTTGTAATCAGCGTTCAAATCGTTATCGCCGCCGCCGCTGCATCCCAAAAAGCGCCTCATAACTCATCGACGTTAATGTTTCTGAAAATTCGAGTGAGTTTGTTTGTATGTTTTTTGGTGTTATTGTGAGAAGGAATTGATGTGATCTGAGCAGCTATTTTACAATAAATGATGTATCATAAGCAATAATTCGTGTTCTCACACCACCGACTTAATGATTCCGTGAAATAGTCAGTGTGTGTTTGGTTAGATGGATTTTCTTTGTTCGGTGATTCAGCAGTTTTGTTAGTATTATAGTTTACGGTTATATCGTTTCTAAATACTTTAAGTTGCGATGCTTTATAAATACATTCATTTCTTTGGTTGGATAGCGATGGCAGTAGGTGTGAGTAAAATGAAGTGATTGAAGTTATTGCGATTTGGTGGATATGTTGTATATGTTGGTGGAAGATGGGATTTGTTGAATGATTGTAAGTTTATGATTAGGAGTACGGAAATGGTGACGATTTAACAGTGATTATTCATTTGTGTCTTGTATAGTTTATCTGTTATCGTTGGATTTTAACTTGTTTTGTAGAACATTTGTGTGGGTGCAAGTAAATGTATGAAGTAGTTTATGTAGTTATTTGTTAGGAAATTTAATTGGTTCGTTCATTAGGAATTGGTTTTGTATTAATGTGCGCTTGAATTTGTCGGATGATAGCATGATCTTGTTTCGAGAAGAACACTAGTGAGCATTACTGTTTTTAGACTATTTATAGATTGATTAGTGCCACTAGCAGCGAGGATCACGCTTTAACACTTCTTATATTTGAAATTATGTTTTTGAATCATGAAGCATAGCTTAGGACTGATTGGTTCTTTCTTTAAATTTGCATAATTATGGTAAGCCTGTGAGGCTATTCCGAATGTATTGTGAGCTTCACTTCTTGAAGTTTCACTTCTTAAAGTCTATCGTTCAGCCAACAGATGCAGCAGAAATATTATTCCCATTGAATCCAATTTTATGTCCCTTTTCTGTGGGACAGTAAAATTGTACGGTTTTATCGGATGCATTAATCTTGAAGAGTTGTGGTCTAAATGTGTGGATATATGTATATAGATTTGTATTTTTTGCTCGAAGTGTGGATTTGTTTACGTCAACTTGCCTACCAATGAAATGGCAATAAATTCTCATATTCTGAGCAATGAAATTGCGGCTGGAAAATGGAAAGTTTTATAAATTTATGTGCTCTGAAATCAATATTTCATTGTGGCAAATTACTATTGAGCAGAAAGACTGAGGCCGAAAAAAAGTAAGCATACAAACAAACGAGCAAATTGAATGTGAGACCATCGTCGAGGTAGTTCACTTTCTTGTTGTTTTTTTTTTCGATCGAAAATAAGTCTTTACCACAAAATTTTCAAGCGTTTGATTTGGCGAAAATTGATTACAGCCGAAATGAAGAGCAACTCATTGATCATTATCGCAAACTCTTCTCATTGCCTCATCTTATCTATCGTAGTTGTTATTGTGTGGTATCCTTGATAAATTGAAGGTATTTGATTGAATACATTTGGAAGTTGGAAAACACATTCCAGCTGAGGTCATGTCTGCACAATCAGTCATCACTTAAGAAGCTGGTCTTATTTTGAAGAGTTGAAAATTCTGGAATTGGGAAGAAGATTTTTTGATGTATCGCGGCGTTTCTAACGTTTTTGATTTTGGTTTTGAGCTGATTTTTTCGGCGAAATTCAGATTCTGGGTGGGCTACGTGTTTGGGCCGTTTGTTTGGGCTGTTGGTTGTTTCATTGATGTTCATCGTTCATCATTCAGTGGTTGTTTTTGTTGTGTCGGAAATTGAAAGAAACAATATAAAGTTGTCGAGCTGATTGAGTTAAAATGCGAAGAATTTTTGGGTACTTTCATTAGCAGAGTTAGTAAGTGACGAGCTCGAGTTCGAGCAATGTTGTTTACGAGCATAAATTGAGCGTGGTTAAAGCGAAGTTCGAAATGATCCATCTTAAAAATTAGTCCACTTTCCAATTTCCCAAATAAACCGTAACCATTAAACTGTTAACGACGAGATTCGTAAAGTGCTCTCAAATAAACTTGTTCCACTACAAATTGACGAGATTGTGTGGGGTTGTTAAGAAAATGCCGCCGACAAAGTAGGCTGTAAAATAAAAACAATAGGAGAATTGAAAGATTCCGTTTGAAATGGAAACACTTTGTAAGAGATTTGATTTGTTGGTGAAATTTTGATTTTTAAGAAACAAAACAACGAAACTCTCACTCTCTTTTTTTTTGCTGAGCGTGAAGCGCTGAAGTGAGATTTTTAAAATGAAAATTTTAAACTGCAAAAGTTGGTTGTAAATGTGTAAGGTTGTATGAATTGTCTTAAAGTTTCGTCGTAATCGTGAATGATGCATCCAAATGTCATATTTCCGAGTTAATTCGGTTGTATGCTAGTGGTCTTGTTGTTTTGTTGTTGTCGTTGTTGTAAACTTGAACTTATTCATGTTAAATTGAAATGATCGAGCTGGCAAGCTGGCAGCTAGAGTTGGGACTCGAGATGGATGAGTTGAGGAAGACATAATTGAGTGCTGTGTCTTCAATAGTCATCAAAACATTTCACTGACAATGAGTGATTTGTTGTTTTTATTCAAAAGTCTCATTTCTCATTTAAACCTTTCTATTGATTGTTCTGTGACAAGCAGAGGATATATTGATAAGTGATTGAGTTTACTTGATAACAGTTAAGGTTCGATAATCTGAAATGTTTTGTGCCTTTACTATATAGTAGTGATGGGATCCGACCGACAATGGATCGGAAAAATCCGGCAATTTCGGTCGGAATCACGACAGTTGGACTCCGACCGAGTAGTTTGGAAAGTCGATCGGAATTCCGACTGTCGGAATCACGAAATGCCAACTTGATCGGATTTCGACCGACGGAAATTCCGCTCAGACCCTATCACTACTACATAGCACATGTATACCTCAACTTAGGTTGGTAAATGGTTTGGGGAGAGGCGAATTAAGTCGAATTTACTTGTTGTCACTAGACAAAACCACAAATAACCATTCGCAGTTCTATGTTGTATTTATAAATGAATTTTTATCAGTATGTGGTTAATAATATTCTATTTTAAGCTTGGAAATAAATGAACTTTATTTTCAATAAAGTATTGGAAAAATACAGTAAAATATCGTCGACTGAAGTTGAATTCACTTGTCATATATTTTTGTAAATGCATTCATAAATGAAACACAGAAGTAGAAGTGGTTACTTGTGATTTAGCTTATTGTTAGTGGAAAGTAAATTCGACTTCATTCGACGATTCACAATAGAAGCGATTTATAATCGAGAAGGACATAATTCGAAACGACAAAATGTGTATAGTAAAGGTTTTAAATAATTGATTATTCAGTTTTGTTGATAGTTATCAAAGGGCAGTGGTGTTGGATAGTTTGTTTATTGATTTTAACATAAAGCGGTCCGTCCTTTATAAAATGATTTGTATTAAATCGTTTGTATTAAATGAAATAGAGTAGAAAGATCAAATATACGTATAACTTATGTATTTGTTGAATATCGGTTAGTAAAATTTGCTGCTGAACAGAAAGTTTACTTTATTGAATGCTTATTGTGGATATAAGTGAAAGTAGATTAAAAACTGAGTTAGTATCATTTTAAGTGTCTCTTGGAGAAGTTGTTCGAAAGGATATTTCATGTGAAGTAATTTTTTATGATGATTAATTTTTTGTCATTTTTCGTCATCTCTTCGCATACCATCATTCTTTT